TATGCCAGTAATGCCTTCAAGCTGCGATCCATTTTGAATGTGTGTACTATTTGCAGTTAATTTATTAGCAAAATCCTGGAACAGTTGTCCTTAAAGAAGAAATGGCTTTAAGACATCATTTTTTTTCCTGTCTGCATCTCCCAGCATCCACAATCATAAGTTGTTCTACTCAGATCAGAGCAATGCAAAAATGTTTATTTGTGAGATGGTAAGAATACCATTTAGGAAATAACTGTCTTTTTTTTACCTGTTCCCCTCACTGCTGCTATTAGCATAATATATATTTTCGATTTGTTGTATTTAAGTCCAGCCTTTCCTCAAGCAACTCAATTTTTAAATTTATTTTTAATTTATTTATCAAATTTTGAAACCACCCATCTCCTTAGCAGAGGGCATTGGGGTGGTGTACAAATAAAATGTTGAATCATAAAAAAGTACATTTTTTTTTAAAAAAGGCAAGGATGATTAAAATTCAAAATGAAAAGTTAATTAAAAGGTAAAGGGAGGGTTTCTGGCTTCTAACCAGTTCCATGGTTGTTTGCTCCTCTGTGGGTCCAAACCAGAGGTGGTATTCAGCAGGTTCTGACTGGTTCTGGAGAACCGGTAGAAGAAATTTTGAGTAGTTCAGAGAACCGGCAAATACCACCTCTGACTGGAGATTTTACAGTATCCTTCCCCTGCCACACTCACCAGGCCATGCCCACTGAACCAGTACTAAAAAAAATTGAATCCCACCACTGGTCCAAACTAGACACAAAGCCATGGTTTCAAATCTTTGAAGAAGGCTAGGAGAGTGGGGGCCCACCTCACCAATGTTCCAGAAGGTAGGAGCTTTCTTTCTGAGCCATGCCAGTAAGAATTCCTTTACTGACATGGTCTGCAGCATATTTTCCTTGCCTGACTGGATGGGATGGTTCTGTAAGTAACTGACTCATGCCCTGTAGGACTTTAAAGGTCATAACCAACTCTGATTCACTGATTGATCTGATTTGAAAAAAAGGAGCTTTTTGGATGGACACTTTGACTTGGAATGCTGAATCAGGACGCCATCTTGGGAAGATTTCCCACCATTATGCAAGAAATCATATTTGAGTTGGTCATAAAATTTATATGTATGGAATAACAAAAGTAAAGATTTTTCCAGCCTTAAGATTTAAAATAGTATTATTTTTATAGTGGTTTAAACATTAAAATAATAAGGCAAACAAACATAAAGGAATAAGAAGAAAACAATAGTACAGAATAAAAAGATAGGATAAACACAGAAAAGAAAGAAAAATAATATAGTAAAGAAAAAGAAAAGAAATATATAAAGAAATTATTCCTTGTAAATAATAAATAATTTTAGTAATTTCTCTCAAAATACACAAAACAAGAACTCTTCTTGCCATATATCATCTCTTATCTATAAACAAATCTTTGAAACATCATTTAGTCCAGGTTAGCAAAAGTCCATTAAGAGTTATCAGAGATAACAACATGTTCTATTTTAATCTTTATCAAATAAACCAACTTTATATTTCTTTATTTTTAGCAATCTTGAAGTTTAATCTGTTCAAATGCTTTCCATAGATTGATTTTTCTTCAATGTTATCTTTGTTCATTCTCAGAAAATCCTTCAAAATTTTAACAAACCTCTTTTGTTGATCCAATTTTGGAAAATTATTGAGGTTACTATCTTGGTTTGTTATTTGTGTATCTCTTTTAATTATTAAGAGCCAGTTTCATTTGTAACTCCAGTGTAGCATTTTTTTCCATATCATTTTGCCTGTCATTTTAAAATCTGGTTTCAAATCACCTTCACTCTTTTCTAGAAAGTTCCTTTCTCATAACATTTTTTAAACACATGCTGTCTACAATGGCAGATAATTTTAAAATTAACTTCCAGATCTATTGTTCATAAATATCCTTCAATACTTCAGGATCAAAGTATTTTGCTCCATTCTGTTTTAGTAAATAAAATGTCAATGTTTTTCTCCTTTAATTGTAAATTTTAGTTTCTTCTGGTTCCCTGTGGTGTCCAGTCTTCAAAATTCCACCATAGCTTATTGTTCAAAACAATAGCATTTACTCACATAAAGGATTCTTACAATTAGCTTTAAAATCTTATTTCAGGGGTCATCTGGACCCTTTATTTGTTGATAACTTATCAAAATCAATTTATAATCACATTTTTATTTTAGATTTTTTAATTCTACCTTTATTACTTTTATTTATACTTTTGCTGCTTATTCCATAATTTTTTCTTAACTACTTATGTTTGTATTTAAATCTGTTTTCACTAAAGATTAAAGGACACTCACCCAGTGTTCTGAAACATGCTGTTGCAATGGTTCCTAATAGCTAAATGAAGTTAAGAAGCAATTTCCAAAACTGAATAAGAAGCAATACTTTGTAAACATTTTGTCACTATGGGCTGCATTAAATCGTTCCTTAATTCCCAGCCACCTAGTTCAGTATAAAAATCTCAGTCCCTGCAGTCTACCCGTGAGAAGCAGTGGAGTATAACTTCTCCAGAATTCACCATCTTGAGAATTCACCAGTCTCTATTTCAACATTGCCTTCTTCATTCTGGGACATAATTCACCATGGAATTAGAAGTCCAATATTTAAATTAGTGCTGAAGGAATATGGGGACACCATTTATCCAGACTTGAAACTCAAGTTGTAACTTCAAAGTTTTGAATGGGGCTTCAAAATAGACCATCTAAAATGTTCCCACAAATGCTACTTTTGTCTTTAATGTCTTGTTAAACTTTGCCACCTTGAAGATGAAATGGCATAGGGTCAAAGGAGAGTCAGTGGGACATATAATGAATCCTGGAAAATATATTTAATAATGAGTTTCTGAAGGACTGAGAGATAAATATGAATCCTATCCCTTTATGTGAATTAATGTGATGCTATCACACAATGTTCTTTCTTGACCTTGATTGTAACTATCTTGAGCTTCATGTGACCTTCATTTTTTCTGAGCATAAATGGATATATATTCTATTACACACAATTTATTTGTCTGTTATACTATTTTCATAAAGAAGCATGTATGCATATAGAAAGAAGTAAATATCTGAATGGAAAAAAATAAGGTAGGAAGGATTTTTTAAAATCAAGAGGATAAGCTACAATATGGACCACCTAATGCTTCTCGCAACATCAGAATTAATACCTGGAACAAAAACATCCTCAGGACAATAGGATATAAAAACCTTGGTATCTCTGTGGAGTAAGTCAGCAATGTAGTTTTCGTCTGAATGCTTATGTATTCTAAACAGCACATTTCAGAGAAATAATATTGAATGAAATATTTGATAATACAATTGTACCTGTCCTTTTATTTTGAATATTGCCATTAAATTTGCAGGGACATGAGAGCAACACATATATACCCTGTTACACCATTCCCATTTTTTATTCCCATCTTTCTTTCATTATTAAGTTCCAAGGATCATTTTTGTTACAATCACTGGAAACCAGCAGAGTCTTCTGTAGACTCAGGAGCATGAATTTGAGAGCTAAGAGATATATTCAGATTCATGAGATTAGTTTTTTTTAAATGCCTTTACTTTTTATGTGATATGTTAATAACATTTTTTAAAAATTGAATTGTGTTCTTATAGCTTTATGAATATCTATTGTCTGTATTTACCTGTATATCTATAGTTACTAAAGTAATGTACCAAAATGTAAATGTTTACCTTATTGATAACTTGCCAATCATTCATTTGGGAAGTTCATATTTGTCAAGAGCTGCTGCAGATTTGGTGGCACGTAGTTATAAGTCATGTCTTTTTCCAAAGCGTAGACTGACAAAGGTCAAGAAGAACTTAATATCAGACTTTGACTAACCTATAGTCTGTTCTTCACTCTATTATCCAAGAAATAAGAGATGAAAAAAGTAAACATACAGTTATTTCTTTGGTAAATAAACCTTCTTCCATCTGACTATGCCAGAACCTAATCTAAACATAAGACATTGTGGAGGAAATATGGATACTTGCAGGTTGGTCCTATCAAAGGCAAAATGAGATGCCTGTTGCAGATAGTTGATTTTAAGCATTATGAAAAGGTAACAAATTGTCACTCACCAGGGAAGGAATCAGGTCCTTAGTTTTGTTTTGCTAGATCCTGATTTTGAAGCATGTTTGTTTGGAAATAAATAGCATTTGTTACTTTTGTTTCAAGTAAAAAACAAATGACTCAGGCTATTCTGGGTTCCTATCTTGATATCCCTTCAAAACAATTTTGACTTAGAAAACAGCACTGTCTCTTCTCATCATCTAAGAACTAGCAGGGGTGGGATTCTATCAGTTCGCACCTATTCTCTAGAACCGGTTGTTAACATTCTAAGCATTTCGGAGAACCCGTTGTTAGAATAAATTACTGGCCTAATCCTGTAAGATCTAACTCACATGATGAATCTGCAATGCTTAATTCTTTGTGTTTTAATTATAATGTACTCTTTTATCCAATTTTCACTGACAGCATGCTGTCCTTTCAAATAGAGCAGCTGATATCCCAGTAATGTTCTCTTATTATAAAACATTTCAGTTTATTATCCCAAAGTTATTTATCTTTCAGATAAACAGAAAATATTTTGCACTTAAGTTTGGAGACTTATCTTGTAAGAAAAACATCAGGAGACATAACATCAGGAGGCAAAAGCTAATAAAATTTGTTAATCTGAACAAGTGCTATCAGACTCCTGATTTTTGGCTATCATAAATTAACACAGTTCTCATCCTCTTATACTTGCTGAGCAAGTATTCACCATACACTTCTATGGAAGTAGATGTTAGCCCCACCTCCCACAGTCCATTTATTAGATGATCATGTGAATTAAGAAGAATATTTACAATCTAAAGTCACTTATGTCATCCAATTAATTCAGTAGACTTCCAAATAGGCATGCTGATGAATCCGTGTGCATATAAGGATGGGATATTTTACAAAACTACTGTTGTTTCCATTATCAATCCCATTTCATGTATTTTTATATTAAAAATATGGAATTCTTCATGAATTTGCATGTTACCCTTGAGCAGATACCATGCTAATCTTCTCTGTATTGTTCCATTTCATTTTAATATATGTGCTGCTGAAGTAAGCACACAATTTCACATTACTATGTACAAGGACAGAATCAGTATTCTTTAATAACTCTTATAGGAATATATAATATCTGAAGGGGCTGGCAGATGTGATCTCAGAACCACTGACTGAACCATAACTTTCAAAGATCCTGGAACACTGGGACACCAGAGGACTAGAAAAGAACTGATATAGTTCCCATCTTTAAAAAAAAAAAAAAGGGTGTGTGTGTGAAAAATAGCTCCAGAAAATTACAGGCTGATCAGCCTGATATCAATTCCTGGAAAGATCTTGGAAAAGATGGGCAAGCAACAAAACAATGAACACCTAGAGGCAAGCAAAGTTATAACTAGAAGCCAACAGTTCCTTAATGGAACTACACCTATATGGAGAGAAGTATGCAGTGGAATACCTCAAGTTTCTGTCTTAGGTCCAATACTTTTCCACAGTGAAATATTATATAAATATCTAATCAGTATTCACTATAAATAAATATGAATGAACATGCAGAATCATTCAGAAGAATACGCAGTGAATAAATAAATGAATATCTCAGGAAGCATATTTGGGAAAAAATATTGGAAGCAAATGGAATCAAATGATTTTTTTGTCACCAGAATTAATTAAAATGCATAGCTGGGTTGTTGTTTTTTTTGCAATAATACTTAAAGTAAAAGCTATTGATCATGACCAATGCTCTTTGAAGTAGTTCCAGGAGTTATTTTTTTCCTAGCTAATCAGCTAATTACTGTATGACGAGCTTTCATGTTTTCTCTTAGACACTACATACAAAACATCTGCTGAACTTTGCGGAATCAGAGAAACCATGGTTAGGTTATATGTTCTTTTGATTTCAAAGTGTGGTGATGGTAGGAACAAACTGTAACAAAAATTATTTTAGATTCCTGTTTCTTTCATTTAACATTAAAAAACCCATGCTAATTATATATTCCTTGAAGAATTAGCTTTGGTCCATTAGTTAGCAGACTGAATAGCTTTTGATGAAAAAAGGGATAACAAAACTGGAATAAAATCAAAACTCTTCTGTTGCTGATTTTTTAATTTTACTTTCCCAATGAGATCTCTTCTTTATTCCCTCTTTTCTCTGACTTGCATCTGATCCAAAAAAATTTCTACAGGAATAAAGGAGAAGTGAAATATACTTTGGGAAAGGTACCCCATCTCCCACTCCATTCTATCACAAACATAAAGCTGTAGTATTCAGGAAATATTTTTTGAATATTTTGGAATCTGGTCTTCTTTCATCTATTTTACTTTTCTTCTTGTACGTACCTTAAAGTCAGTGATAAAGAAATTCACGAAGGAGCTGCACTGTATTTCTCTCATTGTAATCCAACTCATTTTCAAGGCATTAGTTCTGAAATTCAAATCATATTTAGCTGGAATTTTATTGCACTGAAATCTGTGATATTTACTATTAGGTTTTTTAAAGGATAGAATTTTATAATGTGACTCAAATTTCCATTACTGCACTCCTTTTAGCAACAGAGGTTTTTTTGCTATTCAGAAAAGAATCTTATAGGTGAGGCTTAAGCACAGCTGTGTTTTGATAAACACAAAGGTTTACTTCAAAGAATCCATAATATCTATAACCTTTCCAAAATTTTCCAGTTTTATAAATTGAAACAGGGAGATCTTTTGAAGGATGCTTTTGTTGTTTAGTTTAAACATGAGCAGTTTAGTTTAAACATTTCATCTTTGGCCGGAGGAAAAATGATCTCTACTGATATTTATAAATCAAGGTAAAAATCCACTTTAATAATTTGAGAATCCGTAATGTGACCAGTCTCATACTTTCATAAATATGTGTTACGCTATAAAATAAAAACTAAAATTTATTGCATGCCAAGCTAAATGTGGCTTGCTTGTTTGTATTTACATTATATAAATTCAATGTAGTTTGTTCAGAAAACCCAGTTAAACACTGAATTATTTATTTAAACAGATATAGAGTAATTGGATTCACATGTCATACTAAATTATAATGTAATGAATTTATATCTTAAAATATTGTATGAACTCAGCAATTGCGATTTGGTCAGCCACAGTTTTTGCCTGTGCTATATGAATCCAGCCAAATGTGATTATTTAATTTTTAAATCCCAGTTTAGTGCATGTTAATCTGTCAATAATTAATTATCAGAGTTAGCTCATTTAGTTGACTGACAACAGAGGCTACATTTTTAAACATGGTCATTCAGTGTTACATTAATCATGCTTCACTCAACCCAATTTTATAAATACAAAGAATAAACTAAAGCCTAGGCTATGCAGACTAGATTTACCTAAAATCTTAGGCTAAAATGTAGTAGACATTTGTGATTCATTTATTATTCAAAATGAGCCAGAGAGGAAAAAATTAAGCTTTCTACATCCAAATTAACACCTTGAAAGATTTATCTGCTAAGAAAACTAGGGGTCATCTCCCTAAAGGTATCTTCCTTCACTTCATTTGATGAGAAAGAGCTTACTCCGCTATACATAAAGAGAGTTCTTAAGAGTTGCAAAGAAAAAGAAAGAAAAATGTTTAGAAAGTATTGATTACTTTTCAGAAAATAATACTTGTTGAATGTTTGACTTTCTGAAAACATATTTTTAAAGGCCAGCTAGCCACCTTTTTGAAGAAGCTAAAGATATGAAGACATCTGAATCTATATACATATTTAATCCCCATTGAATCCCCATGTTTGTTGAATTTTTACACTATAGTTATATACAAATTTTGCTGTACAAAAACTTGAATAAATTACTGAGCAGAACCATGCCTAACTCTACTTGAAATCCAATTGCAGAAGCAAAGTGTTTCCATAATAAATAAATGTCCTTGTAGTTTATTTATATTAGAAGTTCTCTATGGAATTGTCACACAACTGTAATTTACCCTGAAATATAATTATACTGAATATATGTGCATCCAGGTTATAGAGATAAATTGCATTATTTACCAAGGAAAATGCAACTTTGTTTATCACCCCATAAACCAGAAAGAGAAAAATCTGCCATTTCTGTAGACCCAAGCCATTTACTTCAGTTGTTTTAAAAAATTCAAAACTCTTTTTCAACTCACACATAGAATTTATTATTATCCTAACTCAGGAAAGGGGCAAAAGAGATTTTCAGATACAGCTTAATTTATTACTATTTTTAAATTTGCTCATTTTGCTTTAACAAATATGGCTGGATGTAGAAAATTAATTTCAGAAAAAATAAAACTGGATAAATGGAGAGTTGGTACTGTTGGAATTTAAACTGGAGAGCAATGGAAAGGAGTAAACTGATTACTTTTCACTTCTCCCATAAGTATGGCATTGTTTTTTCAAGCTGAAAGAAAGATTGCTTTTGACCAATCATAACTTATTTAAGCCTCTATAAATATGTCCATTGGGTAAAGGGGCTATGGTGGAATCAGGTTAACTGTAGTAAAATACTTCTGGATCCCTTCTGAAATAATGTTATTGAGAATGCTGTTTCTGTGCCTCTGGGTGCAACCAATAGCTTTAAAAGTATGCCAATACTGTGGAACAACAATCTAATATATTATGGCGGGAATATCTTGCAGTTAACACAAAGATGCTTTTTCAAAAGGCAAGTGGACTTTGTGAAAGTCCAGTTGCCTTTTGAAAAAGTACCTTTGAAACAATCATGACCTGGATGTCTGAGACCAGAGGTGGTATTCAGCAGGTTCTGACCAGTTCTGGAGAACCTGTAGTGGAAATTTTGAGTAGTTCAGAAAACCAGCAAATATCACCTCTGACATGTTCTGCCCCCATCTATTCTCTGCTTCCCAAGTCCCAGATGATTGGCTGGGTCTTCTTTTGTTACCTGGCACAGGAGAATGGAGCTGGAAAGCAGGTTAGTGGGGTGGGGCGGGAATGGGGATTTTGCAGTATCCTTCCCATGAAATTTTACAGTATCCTTCCCTTGCCACGCCCACCAAGCCACGCCCACAGAACCGGTAGTAAAATTTTTGGAATCTCACCATTGACTGAGACATCTTGCCGGTAACATTGCATTCACTACATGCAGAGGGATACCTCTGCTGATTTTTATATAAGTAAATGTGGAATAAATTTGCACCTATTGTATGATTTGTATATTGATTTCGGACTGCATCATTATTTAGCAAAATGCTTCTATAAAGCTGATTATCAGTTATTTTCTAAAAAAAAATCCTAATTATTTTTATGTTGAGAAAATGCAACGTTTTACCTCTGTTCCCTTTCATAACTGGAGTTTTGCAGTATTTTCCTCCCCAAATTTCATTTTATTTGCTGTCATATTCTGGCTATATCCTCAATGCTACATCCAAGTTTTCTTAAAGAAGTCTTCCTTAATTTAATATCCCTCAGCTGAGTTGGATTGCAGCTTTCAATATTTCCAGGCAGTAATAACAGAATAGAGTAGAGTAGAGTAGAGTAGAGTAGAGTGGAGTAGAGTAGAGTAGAGTAGAGTAGAGTAGACTAGAATAGACTAGACTAGAATAGAATAGAATAGAATAGAATAGAATAGAATAGAATAGAATAGAATAGAATAGAATAGAATAGATTTATTGGCCAACTGTGATTTGTCTCAGTATATATAAAAGAAAAGATACATTCGTCAAGAGTCGAGAATCATAAGGTACGACACTTAATGATAGTCATAGGGTTCAATAAGCAATCAAATCATACTAGGAAACAGACAATATAAATTGTAAGTATACAAGCGACAAAGTTACAGTCATACAGTCAAGTGGAAAGGGATGGGTGATAAGGAGTGATGACAAGATTAACAGTAATTAGTAGTGCAGACTTTGTAATAGTTGAACAGGGTTGAGGGAATTATTTGTTTAGCAGAGTGATGGCTTTTGGGAAAAAACTGTTCTTGTGTCTAGTTGTTCCGGTGTGAAATACTATAACAATTGAGCCTTAGCTATTCTTCCAGAACTTTAAGATGTTTTCCTCTTTTGGAGGAAATGCAAATATCTTTCAGACCATGTTAAGCTGTTTGGAGTAGCCTA